CTTAAAAGCAGCGCGTGCAGTGGCAGAAAATGCGACTTTCCTGAGTTTCCCTCGGAGAAGGTCCGTGAGGGGTTGCATCAGCGACATGCAGTTTGATATAAAACGTCGGTGAAAGTTGACAAGCCCATTAAAATGCCTAAGCTGTTTAAGTATGAGGCACGGGGTAGTAGATGATGACTTGAACCTTATCCTGCAGTGGCACGACGCCTTTAGAGGAGATACGTTGGTCGAGGATGTTGAATAAGTCGATACCAAATTAAAACTTTTCTGCTTTGATCTTCATCTCGTGTTGAGATAAACGATCAAAAAGTGTTCGTGCATGGAGCATGTGCTCTTCTCGTGAAGAGCTCGCGATTAAAATGTCGTCTGGATGAGCGTAAGTGAAGTCTAAGCTGCGACAAACCTGGTCGATGAAGCGCTGGAAGGTTTACGCGGCCTTCTTTAGACCAAATGACATGTGCAGGAATTCGAACAAACCAATTGGAGTTGTCACAGTAGTTTTAACTATGTCCACTTCGGCTACCGGAATTTGGTTGGATGGGCTTCCCAAGTCGATTTTGCTGAAGATATTTTTACGCGCCAGACTGGCGGTGAGATCCACGATGTGTGGGATCGGATAGAGATCGGGCGTGGTAACCGTATGCAAGGTTCGATAGTCGCCGCAAGGACGCCAGTCCCCCATGACCTTCTTCGGGACCATGTAGAGAGGCGACGCCCATGAGCTGTTGGACGGTCTGACGATATCGAGCTGAAGCATGTGGCCGAATTCAGCTCGTGCTGCACGTAGTTTGTCTGGAGCAAGCCGTTTTGGTCATGCGCCAAATGGTTGACCGCAAGTGACTATGTGGTGAACAACCCCTGCCGCGACTGGTGGAAGCTCTGCAGCCGGTCGAACCAGTCGCTGGTACTGGGGGAGGAGGCTTAGATAGTCGGACGGCGCGACTGCCATCCGAAATACAGGGCTGATTATCGAGGCATCTGAAAGGATGCCAAAAGCACCTATTTTTGTATAGTCATCTAAAATTCTGGAGACCCGCGTCGACAAGCAATCCGAAATGGCGGAGAAAATCGATGCCGATAATTGCGGAAGGTACTGACGCAACCGTAAAAATCCAGTGTAAGTCTCTGCGGAGATTTAAATCTAGGTTCATCATGCGCTGACCGTATGAAGCTATCGGTGAGCCGTTGGCTGCCCATAGATTGTACGTGGACTTCGAATGCTTGTCTTGTGCGTTGGTAGGGATAACGCTCACTTCGGCTCCTGTGTCGATAAGGAAAGTGACGCGAGAGCGCCTATCCGCAACGTAAAACAGGCGGCCGGTTTTATTGTTGCCAGACGCGTGGGCCGCATTCACGTGCCAGCGAACTATACCATTTCCCGGCCAAGTTATCCTCTTGGGCAACAGAAATAATCTGAGGGGGGCATTCAACATGAGCCTACTCATATTTCAGTGGTCAGGCCAGGTGTCAACTCGTCCTATTGCTCTATCATCGCCTAATACTAAGTATGTCCATTCGGCCGTGCATATGCTCCCCGGTCGCCATATGGAATTCGCATGCGTTGGTGCGACAAAACTGTCCACGACCAACTGGACGAGGCAAGTTACGGACTTTGGTATCCGATGGCAACAACCGGCGTTATGCACAGGAGACACTGAGAAGTGTCGCGAAATCCTGTGCTATGTTGCAAGAGTAGTGTGTGAATGACGTAACACGGAAACAGCAAATTCCTACTTAGAGATGTCTGCGTTATTGGATGCGTCCTCTTGTTACAACGCGATGGCACAGTAGCAGGATCCCCAAGTATCAAGGATGAGGAATTTGCTGTTTCCGTGTTACGTCATTCACACACTACTCTTGCAACATAGCACAGGATTTCGCGACACTTCTCAGTGTCTCCTGTGCATAACGCCGGTCGTTGCCATCGGATACCAAAGTCTGTAACTTGCCTCGTCCAGTTGGTCGTGCACAATTTTGTCGCACCGACGCATACGAATTCCATATGGCGACCGGGGAGCACATGCAGGGCCGAATGGACGTACTTAGTATTAGGCGATGATAGAGCAATAGGGCGAGTTGACATCTGGCCTGACCACTGAAATATGAGTAGACTCATGTTGAATGCCCCCCTCAGATTATTTCTGTTGCCCAAGAGGACAACTTGGCTGGGAAATGGTATAGTTTCCCTGTGCCACTATACCACGCTTGGCACACGATGAACGGCAACGTCCAGCGTTGTCACCATACTGGCGATGATACCAACACAGATCATCTATTAAATTCGCATTTCGTGCTCGGCCGCGAGGGGGTAATGGACTGCCTCTGCGCGGTGACCTGGATCTGCACCGTATAGTTCGGGACTAACAGGCGCCATGACGAATGGCGGCTATTTCGTGCTCGGCTTGCGCTCTCATAAAGCCCTGCCTTTCTAACTGCATCGTTGCTATTTCACGGCGAAGCACGGCTATCTATTTGTCTCTCGGGTCGGCTTGCGCGGACCTTTTCTTACTAAACTTCTTATCAGCTAATGTTGTGGCGAAAATGTCCCCGGATGCTTTGGTGGGCTGTGGGATTCTCTCGAATGCTGCGTCTGCGGTTATGGCCAGCTCTTTGAGTGATCTATCTGGGTACGCTACGAGCATTAAAGGAACAGGATCCGGTAGGCGAGAGAGCCACAGTTCTTTTAAAGCCGCTTCACTCCTGTACGAAAAGCCAGCTATCTGTTGAATATCGCGGAGCAAGACTGAAGGCTTGTGATCGCCTAGCTTAGTGCTATTAATAAGTTGCTCCAATCGAGCACGAGCGCTGGGTTGCGACTCATTCAGGATCGATTATTTCATCGCTTCGTATTTGCCGTCCTTCGGTGGATGAAGCAGTACGTCTTCAACCAGTGTCACCACGTGTTGTGGAAGGCATGGGACGAGTTGGTTGTATTTAGGTTGATCGGTAGAGATCCCACTGTTTGCTAGCTCCATCACAAAAATGGCAAACCAGACGCTGGGCTTGTGTAACATATAATCCGGAATAGTCAAAGTGAGCAAATTCGCACTACCACCCGACTTAGGTTCTACCTCGGCATTAATCACGATGTACGAGTGAAGTTTAAAAAGAAATGGACGATAAATAATCCACTAGGGCTTAGGAAAGAACGACTTGGAACAAGCTCACCGAAAATGAAAAAACCAAAATATTTAAAAAATTCGCGCATGCGTATCGGGGTCACCAATTTGTAGAACTAATATGTACTAGTCCGAGAGTGTTCTTGCTCTGGTGCGTATACCAGAAAACCGGAAAAACGGACACAACGGATTGTATTCGAGGTAGGCTAAAATCGAACGAAAAACGGATGAAGCGACGAGAGCGTGCGTCAGTGTCGGAACTCACCATAGACACAAGGGATGAGCCGGATGTAGATTAGAATGGCCGTAGCCTCAGCGTTAAAACAAAAAACCAATAATGTACGATTGAGTAACAAATTTGTACATAAGAAATATCTTTTGGGTTGCTATACGACAATGACATGATGAATATGCAGATATTTGGCCCTTTTACAAGAATATTATTTGACAAATGGTAACAAATTGATCTCCTTAATGAAACCAACCAAAGTTTATTTCCTATAAATGAAATATGTGTAAACGCAGGTTGACTAAAACGTTAGATAATTTAATGCAAATGGATTATTTGGAACCATCAAGGTGAACTATTGGGGTATCACCTTACAAAAGGCATAGTTAGTAGACTTTTACCTCATTGCATGTGATGTCACTCGGATCGCACTGATAGATTGCGTGACAAGCTAGCAGACAGAAACACAACAAGTGAAGCCAAGTTCCAAGGGGCCACGCCAGTTAGTGCTCTACTATATTCCGGCTCCCCGTAAATGTTTATTCTTTATACTTCACGCGTTTCTTCATGCAGTGAACATAATTAACGGTTTCACTACAAGGTTGCTCAAGTTTGCTCAACAATGGATAACGGGGGCACGTAGGCAGTGTCATCGCAAAGTGAACTAATCCAAAGCGTACTGCATAGTCAAATCAAATTAATTGGCGAAAATAGCAGTTACATGATTCTACTTGGATTTTATTGTATAAACGGTGTTGGTTTATAAATGAATCGCAGTTAAAGTGGTGGATTCCATATCAAATGAGGCTGAACTAATCATCAACAAAATGTGCTTTCACAAGACATGAAAGTGAGCATACCTATAAATTAATAAATAGTTTCTGTCTCGACGATATAGAGGTAGTCCAGGTAGTTAAGCAGACCAATTTGTGCAACTAGATGAAGACGAATAAGGATTCTTCAAAAAATAAACAAAGGATAAGAAGAAATGCGTGTCCATTCGAGTAGGCAAGACAATGCATTTATCGTGGCCAGCTGGTTACACAACAGAGATGTATCGATCATACGTTGATCGCTAGGGTGCATAAAAATTACAAAATTGATTTAAATTGGTCCTATTGCGCTTGTACGCTGATGTAGCTTTATTTTCGTCGTGGCGAATCAAATAACTGGAATCGCTAGTCCTACTGATTCGTGCAGTTTGCGTTGTCACGATCAGACAACTAAAAAGGACAAGCCTTGTTGTTTGATATACAGAAAGGTCGAGAATTGAACCAGTTTTGGGAATAGTATTGTCGTTTGACCTAGACTCGTCAAAATCTTTTATAAATTAAGGGGTGGGCCTTCCTTCAAAAGTGGATGGCCTTATCTTCTGAATTAGTTCACTGTCACTTATCGCTATAGCCACTTTGATGGAGGTGACTAAATTAACGGACGAGTACGATTTCCACAAACAACTGGCGATCACTACCACAGATACGAATAACACATCAAAAGTAACGGACTGTTCATATGTATCGAGGAAGAGTATCCCCGTCAAGTGACCCCAGAGCATACTGATCACATTACTTCGTACTCATAGCCATTTTTATGGTTTTATTTTCCCGTGTCAACACAATACCTAATTTGTCTTCACATCTTGCGGCATTAAGGTAAACTTGTGAGACGACATCGTATTCCGAAAAATGACGCTGGTGACCCATACAACTGGAGAGATCTCAATTTGGGAACGAATCTGGCAGTCTACGGAAGAGTTTATCGCATCACAAACTGTGATAAATTCACTCGGGTACGCCAATCAGTTAAAATATTGTTTTGTCTCATATGAAATTAGGTTCTTCGCAATCATAAATGAATAATAAATCGCGATCTTTTTAAACGACGATCATTTGGACATGTGATAGATAGATAATATTCATAGTCTTAAATCTAAGTTGAAACAGCATTGCATTATTTTCTGAACATAACTTCCAAAACACATACGCGCTGCAACATTCGACATTAATAAAGATTAATATGTTTATATGTATTTTCCCTTAGTGCCTTTCCGGAATAACTTGGTATTAATCCGATAAAATATAACATGACATACAGCAGCACGATGCACTTGCAAAAGTTTAGGAGACTGATGCATATTTGATGATGATATTTGGGGCCAACTGACGCGAAATCATCACGAAGGTAATTTGTGCAACAAGTTACAAATCCACTGATCTTAATTCTTTACCGCGGTAGGAAATTTCCGGATGTGAGAAGAACTGGTCGGTTTATGTTCTAGGCGAGGTTATGTGGATTCTACTTACACCATGCAAAAGGAGTCAAAGCAGCAGCACATGTACTGCATGCAGACTATACACACACTCCTTGATTTCAGGAGTGCATTCTACTTAGCCGGTCGCTCATTCCGTTAGATATATTTGGTCGAAAGCTGTTCCCATGAGACATGCAAACATGTTCCGGGTCCTGCGCTCGAATGTCAATATCCATTGTGAGTTGTCGACTAAATCTGCACTAATAAGCGCTGTGCTCCGTGGTAGTCTACTTTTCAATTTCTTTGCCATTTTATCACGAATTCCATCATGCAGTGTTGCTTTCCGAACTCTCACGATTTTAGCAGTTACATGATATTTGGGGAGAGTATTTGTACATTCATCATCGTTTGCTATTTGACAATCGTGATGCGACCTACTCAGCTCTGGTGGAACTCTGCGATGCAGTGCTATCATCCGATGTGTACTTTGCACTCTGAAGCTGCAAAGGGCTGTCCCGGGACCAGCAAAAATTGCATGGAGGTTCTATGATCCTTTGTGGTGAAGAGCAGGAAATGATCGATTTATTATCCTATCGTTAGTGGTAGATTAACAGTGCTTTGCTTGCGATTGCTGTTAACGTATTGTAACACCTAACAAGGCATTCTTGAGTCTGAATGAGAGTTCTGTCTGTGTACAAAACCGCAATGAGTGCTATTCTCCTTTTGGAGGGGAAGACGTGACCCCACTATTGAGGCGCCTACAAGTTTTCGAGCAACATTTCGCGCAGAGCACTTCCGGTGTTAGGTAGTACCAACGTGCTACAGCGGTGGTGTGCTATCGAAATAGCCCTCCGAGAAGTGAAAGTAAGACTGGGCGGCGATCCAAATCGGTTATTAAAAAACATAATGTCGTTTCATTGAAACGCACTTCCAATGGCTGATTCTTGCCGGTCATCTACCTGAATTCATCGGCTCGCGCTCATACTTTTTTCGCAGCTGTTTAAACCGCTTCCAGCACAACGGAAAGAAAGCTGCAGTTTGTCCACAATACGGTGATCCATATCTGGGCTGTTCATACGGTCCTTGCAGATGTGAGCAGTTTTTGTGTCGGTGGCGTTGATTGGCTTACTAATTGCCGGTTCTAGTTGTTTCGCTCGCTCGGTCTATCGACTGCAATCGCAAGCAGAACAGTATGTTCCGAATCCGTGTCACGTGTAGAAAACTTGCTTGCCTTTGATTTGGACCAAGGACCATGACTCACAACGCTGCACCCCGATTCCACCCGATCCATTTGGCTTGTGTAAATGTGATCACTTTGTGATCGGGGTGCTGAACGGCTTTCTCGTAGGTTTCCTTCGCATGACGTGCCAGCTACCATCACAATTACTATACTGGGATACTCAGATTTGTTAGCTTTAGCAACAAATAACACAGAACAAGTCGCTTGCGATTGGGCACGCATTACATATACCAGCTTAACCCTTGTTGAGGACAACTTTGTTCTGTATTCCCGGAATAACATGCTAAGGCTTAAAAGAGAAAGGTTACTTTATACCTGTTAAAATACAGTGACGGCGAAACTACCTGCTATTGGTCTGCCTCCCCTTCCTGGTTGAAGCTCACGCTGTGATCCAGACTTGACGCACTGTGGTCCATAGCCGGCAATATTGGCACATTTGTTTTTGCTTTTTGGTTTAACTTCCTGTTCGAGATGTGTCCTATGCTGCGGGACAAGCCAAGTCAAAAATGAGGTTTGAGCAACCAAGACGCGTTAATTTTCAGCCAAGAGAAGCGTATGTCTTCGGTAAACAAAAGGGTGATTAATAAACGTCAACCATTATAAGGTCGCGATACAAACGTGTTAATAATCAACTCTGGCTAATTACCTGTCCCTAAAAACGGATGGCTGCCTATGACATAAGTCAGTGATTGACGTCAGGAATTTGTCTTAACGGTGCTATTTTGTGTCGGCACGATAGTTAGCTTTTTGCAACCGCGTGTTATTTTAATAAACTAGTTAATTTTGACATTTCGACGGAACGGAAGAAACACTTCTCTCCGATAATACTTCATGCGCCCAGTAGCCAGTTGATTTCTGATTGGTACGACTTGACAAACATGGCCGCCGAACGTACAAGAGTATAAGAGAGTTTTAACTGGAGACGATAAACACAATCTTGCATAACTGCATCGAGACCCAGAAATAAAGACAAGTGGATAGCAGAAGTTGGTTTATAAACGCATCCGAAAACGAGCATTTCTTCTACATCTTTATGTCGCTGCCTCGATAGCGTAGCAATGTACTGCAAAAAAACCACCAAGGAAGGTGAGTGTTGCTGAGGCACAAAAGTTACCACACAGGAGCTTTGTCCTGAAGGAAATTCAGTCTAGCTCAGTGTGAAAACAGCTCAGTTGGGTCAGTGCTGCTTGAGACGGCAGCAGTGTCCCTGGGGAAGCTTAGGTTGAGTCTACGTTGACACCGCAGCGACCTCGCAGTATGATCAGAGCACGCGCGATTGGCTGTCGTCGCATGGTAGCAGATTGTCGGTATCATGTGCCGGCTTACTGTAGGTGCCATATGGTCTGTAGTTTCCGTTCAAAGCACAGCGATTGGTCTGTTCGTTATTCACTGGATGTTGCCATATCGAAGCATCCAGTCAAGTAAAGCCAAGCAAAAATAGGCTGTATGGACCCACATGTGTTTATTTATTCCATGGTTCCACTTTCAGCGTCTACACTACCGCTGCCGATGTATTGAAAGGTGGTTGGCGGCGTCCGGTTACGGATTTGACAGTCACTGCGATCTACCGAGGGACTATGGGTGGCTCGCGTTGCACTACCCATGGCTCCATCCACAAACCCCATATCCATATCCGAAGGAACAAGACCGGGAGGCATGTAGATGGGAGCCGGTCCTCAATTCTTCAACGTGCACAGCAGCAGCATTCCTGTCTACTTGGGGAGTCATGTGTAAGAGACGTACACAAGACGGTGGCCGGGCGGTAGTCCGCTCCACATTGGATGAAACCACTCTTTGAGCCTATCAGGTCTACAAAGCTCATTCACCCGGTACCCCAGCAACGACCAACTTTCTCATGGAACCAGAATATTTGAGGTGGAGGGTAATAGACAACTAGAAACCTTGCCAGTATTCACATCAATAGAAAACGCGCCGGGTTTATCATGCAACAGCCAACGACTAAAATGCATGAAACTAAGTGCGCATGCACCTGTACAGACCAAATGAAACGATCATGCGGCACACGTATCGTATCAACTGCCTAATTGGCCTGGGTTAGGAGATCAAGTGGAAGCGGACGCAGCGCACTTACGTACGTTTTGCTGATGCTGATTAGATAATTAGCTGACTCGTCGTCTATTGGATGCTGGCGCAACATGGCAATGCTGATGGCTCATTAGGGCCGCTTAGCCCTGTCACTCGCGACTGCATGTGATACAACACCATGCACCTGACGTCAATGTGGTAGACTCCATCGGCGTCTGTCGCTTCCGTACCCGGTGTTTCTCCTCCCCATATAATAGTGCTTTATGCTGCATCTTGGCAACTCCCTCTTGAGCAGCTCACGCCATTAACGCTGATTAACCGCCTGTAATACCCAACACCTGACATCAACATTAATTCACGGTAAACTCACGCTGATCATGTTCTCCTAATGTAACTTTTTGGTTTTCCGCGTGCCGATTCCCTGCGCTAACTTCTCCATATAAGAGCTGCTTGCGTATCCGCGTCAAATCCATGCGATTGATATGTCCCAGCTATCTCAGGTGCCGGAGCAGAAGTATGCAGTCCACTGCATGCATGCCACTCCGGCGAAACACTTTCATATCTGCAACTTTGTCGCATCAAGCGATCCGCAGTATCCGTCGCAGAGACTGTTGAGGAACACGCTCCACATATCTGACGTCCTGCCGGTACGTAGTCCAGCTTTCACTGCCGCATAGTAGAATGGACAGCATCATCGGCTTGTATACCATCAGCTTCGTCCCAACGATGGGGTGGTGAGTGTTGCACACACGTTTCTCCAGTTTTCCAAACGCGGCAGCTGTCTTCGCTACACGGATACGCAGCTCGCTCGTCATCTGCAAGTCGATAGACCTTACGCCTCCTAGGGAGCGGAATCTCGAAGCGGTTTCCCAAACGTAGTTGACAATGTGGATTTGTGGTAGACCCACGGATTCCATTCCTGGTGTGTGCTGAAAAAGACATCTTGCTTTGTTTTGACGGTGGGCTCGGAGTTGGCCGTTGTTGAAGCGAGAGCCCAACTCATATGCTGCAACTCATCCACGCCGTTTGCAAACAACGCGCAGTAGTCAACAAAAAGCAACATACGGGTGTGTTTCACACAGTAGCGTTCTCGCATTCAAACGACGGAAATTCAGCAGCCCACCATCAATACAGTGCTCCACACGGACACCGTAAACACAAGTAACATAAAGAGCCCAAGGCATCATTGCACGAAGGTAAATACTAAACAAGACAGGAGCCAAGACACACTTTTGCTTCACACTAGAGACAA